CTGGCTCAGTGTCTGAACACTGAAGGCTATGTCTGGTCTTGTGACAGTCAAATAAAGAAGCTTTCCTAATAATCTTTGATACCTGGTGGGATCAGATAACAAATCATCAGTTGTTGTGCTGTGCAAGTCTGTATGATCATCATAGTCTTTGGTTGTCAACCTAGTGTTGATTTCAATAGGAGTAGCAACTGGTTTGGCAGCCCCCAGCCCAAGCTCAGAGATTAGTTCCAAGCTATATTTCCTTTGGTGCATTAGAATGCCTTGTTGTGACCTAGCAAACTCAATGCCAAGGAAATACTTCAGTTCACCTAGGTCTTTCATTTTAAAAGCTTGCTGTAGACTGGTCTTGACTTCTTCTAGTTTCATCAGATTAGGTCCAGCAAGTAGCATATCATCTACATACACCAAAATGACTATGGTGTGTTCACCTGTTCCTTTGGTGAACAAGGAGTGGTCATGTTGACTCTGTGAGAATCCAAACTTTAGTAGTGCTTCTGAGAGTTTGGCATCCACTGTCTTGGTGCCTGTTTAAGCCCATACAAGGATTTCAGAAGTCTGCATGCTGGTCTGTTCTCCCCCTGACTCTGAAAGCCTTGAGGAAGAGTCATATAAATTTCATCATGTAGATCTCCTTGAAGAAATGCATTGTACACATCCATTTGATGGATATGCCAATGCTCAGAGGCAGCCACAGCTAATACTGTCCTAACAGTAACCATTTTGACCACAGGACTGAAGGTTTCCTGGTAGTCAATACCCTCTAGTTGGCTATACCCCTTTGCTACAAGCCTAGCCTTGAATCTTTCCACCTCTCCTGTGGCTTTATACTTCACCTTATATATCCATTTGCAACCAATGGGGACTTTGTCAGGAGGTAAGGGAACCACATCCCAAGTGTGGTTGGACTCCAATGCAGTGATCTCAGCTTGCATTGCTTCAACCCACCTAGGGTCCTTGACAGCATCCTCAAATGTGGTAGGCTCTACTATGGAAGAAAAAGCAGTGAGGTAGCACTGGTACTTGGGCGACAAACCATCATATGAAATGTTGTTAGCAATAGAATAAGGGACAGTCTTGTGACTAGGACATGTCACAAAATCTTTCAGCCAGAGTGGAGCCTGCTTAGTCCTCAAAGATCTTCTCAGCCCAGTAGAGTGGTGATCAACTGAAGGTGGCAAAGATGATACTCCTTCAGATGTCTCCTGGCTTGAGGTATCACTTGCAGGACTCTGATTGAGTGAAGAAGAAGGACCCTCGTGTAAGCTATGGGGTTCATGTGATGTGGAGAAGTAGTCTGCATCATAAGTAGGAGATTCAGAAGGCAGAAATACAGGTGGAGAAGGATGAAGCTCCTTAAAAGGAAAAGTATCCTCTCTAAAGGAAACATCCCTGTTGATGAAGAAGCAATTGGTAGAAAGATCCAGCAGCAGATAGCCCTTTTGAGTGTCAGAGAAACCCATGAGGACTGAAGGGTTGGCCCTGGGAAGCAGCTTGTCTGTCTCTTGCACTTGTTTGGCATAACACAAACAACCAAGGACTCTCAAATGCTCCAAGTTAGGTTCCTGTCCATATAGCAACTCAAAAGGGGATAAGCCATTTAGGACAGAACTTGGCATTCTGTTGATAATATAGGTAGCTGCAATAACACAGTGACCCCAATACTTGATAGGAATCTGTGCTTGAAATCTCAAGGCTCTAGTTACCTCCAGGATATGTCTGTGCTTCCTTTCAGCAACTCCATTTTGCTGAGGAGTGTATGCACAAGTCTTCTGATGAACAATGCCATATTTTTGAAATAGAGCAAGACAGGTAGAGTTTACAAACTCAGAACCATTATCAGATCTGACTGTCTTGAGAACTTTGTTGAATTGAGTTTGAATAAACACAATAAACTGAGTCAATACCACACACACATCAGACTTTAGCCTTAGCAGAAATAACCAGGTCATTCTAGTGAAATCATCCACTACAGTTAGAAAATACCTATGACCATCAACTGTTGCCTGTTTGTAAGGACCCCACACATCAACATGAATAAGATCAAAAGCAGCAGTACTTTTAATGCAACTATTAGGAAAGGGCAGTCTGGTCTGCTTAGCACATGGACACACAGTGCATTTATTGAGGATATCAGTAATAGTTGCTAATTTTGCAGGGAACAATTTATTAAGGACTGAACTAGACACATGACCTAATCTTTTGTGCCACAAGCTAACATCTATAGTAGAGTTCCTCCTGTGTGTTTTAACTCCAGCTGCAGCCAGTGAGATGGCAGTGAGTCTCTTTGCACCATGTTTCTGCAGAAAATATAGGCCATCTCTCTCTCTACCAATCTCCCTCACCCTGCCACTGAAGAGATCCTGGAATACACAGAAATCAGGATAAAAGGAGGCAAAGCATTTTAGGTCTCTTGTCACCTTTGAAACAGACAACAGGTTGAATTTGAACTGAGGCACATAGAAAACTTCTTTAATAACATTGTTGTCAGAAATATTACTGTCTCCAATATGTGGACTTGAGTAAAATCTCCATTAGGTAGTAGCACCTGTCTTGGCTCACTAGGAGCAGTTAAGGATGTTTTAGTGAGCATGTTAATGTCTGAAACCATATGGTTTGTGGCACCAGTATCAATGATCCATTCCTGCAGACTAGGTGATGAAGCCAGGAGAGCAATGTGAGTACCTGCTACATTTGCCTGAGAAGTGGAAGCAGAAGTGTGATTGTGATTGTTGTTGAGGATCTGCATAATTTGCTCATATTGTTCCTTGGTGAATGGAAAAGCACCTCCCTGAGCTGTGGATTGGGAGTTTGTAACATTGCTGGCTTGTGGAATAGAAGAACTACCCTGAACTTGAGCACTAGCACTTCCTTGTCCCCTATAGTTTCCACCACCTTGACTCATAGGCTGATAATGACTGTAATTTGTAGGCAATGATTGCAAAGGAGTACCCTGAGAAGTATTTTCAGCATAAAAAGGCATAGAGTAACCAGGTTCTACCATGACATTGTGTGCACTAGCTCCCCCTTTCCTCTTAGACTTAAAATCAGTTGGATAGCCTATGATTTTGTAGCAATTCTCCTTACTATGACCTTTCATTTTGCAGAAGTCACACTGAACATTGTAGTGCCTTTTAGGTCTTGAACTAGAATTAGACTTAGCACTATAAAGTGCTGTGGAATCATAGCTATTAGGGTTCATAATAGGAGGGGGACCTAATATACTAGCAGATGCAGCTACAGTTCGTTGACTTTCATCACTCATAAGCATAGCATAAGCCTGATTTACTGTAGGCAAAGGCTTCATCATGAGAATTTGGCTCCGAGCTTGTGAGTAGGAGTCATTCAAGCCCATTAAAAACTGATACACCTTTTGTTTTCGTAGATGCATAATAAACTCCCTTGTCTTTACACAATCACAACCAGGTGTAGGTATTATAGATTCAGATTCATCCCAGAGATCCTTAAGTTTTGAGTAATAAACAGAGATAGAGGATGTACCTTGACACAAAGTGGCAGTTTCCTTGTGTAAATTGTAACATCGAGTGTCATTTACCTTGTCAAATCTCTCCTGCAGATCTAGCCACACCTTTTGTGCATTAGTAGCATAGGCTATGCCACTGATTAGTGATGGAGCAACTGAGTTCATCAGCTACGATAGTACGATAGCATTACACCTTTCCCATTGGTACCAGTATTTCTCGCGAAACCTCTCCTTTGGCCATTGACCATCAACAATTCCCAGCTTATTACGACCTAACAAGGCAATTCGCATCGATCTATACCATAGAGAGTAGTTATCAGTTCCAGTTAACCGAAATGAGATCAAGGAGATTCCGCTGGTATCACCAGGTGCCAAATACAGAGGATGAGTTACTGCAACTGTAACTCCTTCCTTGAACTCATCGTCCGATGATGCATGCAAAGTAGTCTCAGCTGTGACAGTAGCATTCTCATCATCAATCGCCATTGTCAACTTATTCTAGGGTTTTATTTTTCTCAGATCTGGAAGCAATTGTGATTGCAATTGATTCAAATTGACAGAAACTTAAATGAATGAGGAAGAGAAATTTTTGGATCGATTTGAGCTTCGATTCTGAGCTCAAGGCTCTGATACCATGCTAAACTTTATGGGAGAGCAGCCATGCCTGAGCTTAGGTTAATGAAGAGAAGAAGAGAAGAAATAAGAGTAGAGAGGAAAACAGAGAAGGAATGAAAAATAGTAACTGCTTCTCATTAATTCTAAAAATGATGTACAATGATATGTGTATATATTTACACGTGAGTTTATCACCTACCTACTTAACTAATCTAGCTAAGTGTAAATAGACTAAAATACCCTTCAAGCTTTAAGTCACTCCTCTTTCCTCAACATACTTCCATATAAGTAGACCCAGAAGCATTTTTCTTAATTACTAGTCGTTTGATACTTCATATTGCCAGAATCTATAGAACTTGGCTATAATTTGATGGATGAAACTAGACGATCTCGACGGAGATGATCTCCGATCTGATCTAACGGAGGAAAATCTTAATTTTAATGGAGAAATCCTTATCCTTCTCCTCCTCCTCCTCCTCCACCTCCGCCTTTTCGCTATTAGTATTTTTAGTAATATCTCTTCGCGTTATAACAACATGCTTAGCGATGAATATAAGCACTGATCAATCTTCTCTTCTGGTGTTGAAAGCGCGCATCACTTCAGATCCTAATAACATTCTTTCAACAAATTGGTCTTCTTCAACCTCAGTTTGTAAATGGATTGGAATCACTTGTGGTTCTCGTCATCAACGAGTTACTGTACTGAATATTTCAGGTTTAGGGTTTAATGGTACTATCCCACCCCAACTTGGAAATCTCTCTTTTCTTGTTTCACTTGATCTAAGCCACAACTATTTCCATGGCGAATTACCACCAGAAATCTCTCATTTACCAAGATTGAGAGCCATTGATCTTAGTGACAACTACTTAACTGGTCAAATTCCTTCGTTTTCGGGTGATATTTGAATGTTGTCTCTTGAAATGAATAGTTTCAGTGGGTTCATTCCTTCTTCTATCTCTTGAATCAAGAATCTTGAATTCTTGAAACTAGGTTACAACAATTTGGAAGGAAATATTCCTAGAGGAATAGCTACTGATCTTCAGAATTTGAGATTGTTGAGCTTTGGATTCAATAAACTCAATGGCTCAAATGTGTTATCTATATTCAACATCTCATTACTAGAAGATTTGGAACTTGAAAATTCTGGTTTAAGTGGTGATCTTCCATCTGATTTGTGTCGTCGCCTTCCCAGATTGCGAAAGCTTGATCTTAATTCTAATAAGTTAAGTGGAAAGATACCAAGAACCATTTCTGAATGCTCACAACTTCAAGTTTTAAAGTTGATGGAAAATAACTTAGATGGAACAATTCCAAGAGAACTAGGGAACTTACAGTTGCTGCAAGATTTAAGTCTTGGAAATAATACGTTAGAAGGTATGTGTTTACCATTTTTTGGGAAGTTCAATTTTAATAATAAAAAGGGCAGCCCGGTGCACTGATCTACAGCGATGCACGGGGTTCAGCCCGGAGAAGGGTCGGACCACAAGAGTCTGTTGTACGCAGTCTTATCGAACCCGTAACCTTCACATGGCAACAATTTTACCGGTTACGCCAAGACTCCTCTTTTATATATATATATAGAGAGAGAATTTTTATAGCATGTTTGCTAAGCTTCTTGGATGCTAAAAATGCCTATTTTTTACGAACAAATTGATTTCAAATATTAAAAACTATTTAATGTAAACTAGCACTATGTATGTTACTTCATCTATTGTCAACTGCAAATATATTATATATGGTTGGTTTGATTCTCTATGACCATTATTGCATAGAGTTGAGCTCTAGTTACAGTAATGATTTTTTATGTGATATGTCTTTTGACAGGCACAATTCCATCTGAGATTGGTCATCTTTATAACTTGAAGCTGTTAGTCATGGAAAAAAATAAATTAAAGGGCTCGATCCCTTTAACCATATTCAACCTTTCATCACTTGAATTTCTATATATGAGTGGAAACATGCTTGAAGGACCTTTACCAAGAGACATTGGAAATATGACTATGCTTACCGCACTTGATCTTGGAAATAATCACTTGACAGGTATCGAAAAATTATTCAATCCACGTTATTTTACAGTTAAGTTTTCTGGGAAAAAAATGAAGGGGAGCCTTGGCGTAACTGGTAAAGTTGTTGCCATGTGACCAGGAGGTTACGGGTTCAAGTCTTGTGGTAAAACAGTCTCTTGCAAAAATGTAGGGTAAGACTGGTTACAATAGACCCTTGTGGTCCGGTCCTTCTCCGCGCCCCGCGCATAGCGGGAGCTTAGTGCACCGGGCTCCCTTTTTCAATCTGGAAAAAAAAATATATGTAAAAAGGGTAGTTCGGGGTACAAAGTATCCCGCATTTATGCAGGTTACGAAGAAGGACCGCACCCTAAGGGGTATGATGTAGACAGCCTACTCTAATGCAAGCATTAGTGACTGCTTCTATGGCTCGAACCCGTGACCTATAGATTACATGGAGACGCTGGGAAAATATGACAGTTCTTTTCATTCACCTTTACTAATTTTTGCAGGTGTAATTCCAGATGAACTTGGTAACCTTCAAGAGTTGGTGGACCTTTCATTGTATTTGAATAACTTTAGTGGTTCTATCCCAATTGGTATCTTCAATATTTCTACTCTTATATCTATTTCACTATCAGATAACCACTTTTCAGGTAATCTTCCTTCAACTATAGGCCATGGTTTACCTAATATTGAAGGAATATTTCTAGGTGAAAAACAATATTAATGGTATATTACCAAATTCCATCTCAAATTTTTCTAAGCTTACTGTTCTTGGACTTGGTGGAAATGAACTCACAGGTTCAATTCCTAAATCTCTAGTAAACTTAAGACTTCTTGAAGTTCTCCACTTACAAAGCAACTTCTTTATTGGTGAAACTTCAACACTGAGCTTTATTACTCCTTTGATAAACTTAGTAGATTTGAGGTTATCTTTCAATCTCCTAAATGCAGTTCTTCCAAAGTCTATTGGCAATCTTTCTCTTCAATGGTTTTCGGCAATAGGTTGTAATCTCAAGGGTCATATTCCAAATGAAATTGGAAATTTGATAAATTTATTATCTTTGGAGCTAGAAGACAATGACTTTACTGGTGTTGTCCCGACAACGATAAGTTCTTTGACAAACCTTCAACAACTTTCACTTGGTGTAAATAGAATAAATGGTCCTTTTCCAAATGGTTTGTGTGAGCTATCTAGCTTGTTTTTTCTAAGACTTTCACAAAATCAAATGTGGGGAAGTATTCCTACATGTTTAGGGAATTTGACTTCCCTAAGAGAGGTTTATCTTGATTCTAATAACTTCACTTCTAGCATACCTTCAAGTCTATGGAATCTCAAAGACATCTTGAAGTTGAACTTGTTGTCTAATTTCTTCAATGGCTCTCTACCACTAGAATTTGGAAATCTCAAGGCTGCAATACTTCTAGATCTTTCGTGGAATCAATTATCTGGCAACATACCTAATACATTAGGAAGTCTACTGAAGGTGACTCAACTATCTTTGGCTCATAACAGAATTGAAGGATCAATTCCTGAGACATTTGGAAAACTCGTAAATTTGGAAGCATTGGATCTTTCATATAACAATATGTCTGGTGTGATTCCAAAGTCATTAGAGGAACTTAAGCAACTAGACTCCTTTAATGTCTCATTCAATAGGTTACACGGGGAAATTCCGAGTGGAGGGCCTTTTGTTCATCTTCCCTTCCAATCTTTCATGTCGAATAAAGGATTATGCGGTAACCCTCAAAAGCATGTCCTCCCATGTCGTTCTAATTCAAAGAAAAGAAGATTGATATGGATTTTAGTTGCCTGTTTGGTTATCTTTGTATAGGGGTTGTTTCATCAATAGTTTTTCATGTTAAAACAGTCAAATATTGAAGATGTAGTGGTCAACCTGAGGATAGCAGCACAAAGATGAACTTCAAAGAGCAACTCAGGGATTTGATGGAAATAACTTGATAGGTAGTGGAAGTTTTGGTTCTGTTTACAAAGGGACAATGGCAGATGGGATGATAGTTGCTATTAAAGTTTTTAATGTACAGATGGAAGGTACATTTCAAACTTTTGATATAGAATGTGAAATCTTGCGGAATCTTCGCCACAGAAATCTCACCAAGATCATAAGCAGTTGTTGTAACTTGGATTTTAAAGCATTGATACTTGAGTACATGCCAAATGAGAGCTTAGACAAGTTGCTATATTCGCGAGATTATTGTTTGAATATAATGCAAAGATTGAATATCATGGTTGATGTTGCTTCTGCTCTGGAATATCTCCATCATGGTTACTCAGTACCGGTTGTTCATTGTGATCTGAAGCCTAGCAACGTGTTACTTGACAATGACATGGTGGGACACCTAACTGACTTTGGCATCGCCAAACTTTTGACTAAGGAAGAATCTATTGCTCACACTACAACCTTTGCCACAATTGGTTACATTGCTCCAGGTAAATTCTTTACGTAACTTTAACGGTCAGCCCAATGCATGAAGCATCCACGTTCACGCAGGGTCAGGGGAAGGGCCGCACCCCAAAGGGGGTGTAATGTAGACAACCTACCCTGATGCAAGCATCAATAATGGCTGATTCCACTGCTCGAACCCATGACCTATAGGTCACACGGAAACAATGTTACTATTGTTCCAAGGCTCCCCTTCAAATTCTTTATTTAGCTTTGTACAAAGTAATTGATTAATGCATAATAAGTTTATTTGCTGACATATTGTTTTATTTTTTCTTGTTTAGAGTATGGTTCGGAAGGCCTTGTATCCAAGAGGTCTGATGTTTATAGTTATGGTATCATGTTGCTGGAAACCTTTATAAAGAAGAAACCTAATGATGAAATGTTCGTGGGAGATTTGAATTTGAGAAGCTACGTACATAATTCGCTTCCTGATGAGCTGAATAATATCATAGATGCCGACTTACTAACACTAGATGAAGAAAACTTAAGTCAAAAGCTGCAATGTGTATCTGCAATCATGGAGTTAGCCATGAATTGCACAGCTAATATTGCAGCTGAAAGGATGAACATGACTAATGTTGTAGCAGCATTGAAAAAGATCAAACAGAAGCTTTCTTCATGTTATCGAACGACCTTACGACATGACATCAGGTACTTTCATATATGTTTTGAAAGAAAAAAGTTATAAAGTTCAGTAGCATTTGACCATATCAGTAGTTGTTCGACGTAGGCGGATGTAGCATGAAAGTTGCGGGTTCACGTGAACCCAGTAGCTTTTGCTTAGACTCTATATACTCATGTACTAAGAAATTCTAAAATATCTATAAATATTTGATTCTGATCCCAGTTATTGTTGTGTATTAACTTGAGATCACTGCAGGAACCAATAAACTTCAAATTCTGGATCCGCCTCTGGTTGTTCGTCGAATGTTATTGCTGGATTCTATAGTTATTGGAAGTTAAAGGATGGATGCTCATCTACTTCATACTTCACAAACCGTTGATAGCTTGTGTACCATTTTCTTTTTCTAGATGATCCATATTTGTTTGAAGAATATAAAACTTTTTACATATAAGTTTTAGATTCATATATGCTGAGAAGAAAAGGAAAAAAAAGGTAAAGAATTCATGATTTTTCAAAGCAAAAGTAGAATTTCTCATTTAGCTTCAAGGAAAAGAGCTTATTTGCGCTCCAGTCAGTGAGGGTATTAAGTACTCACTACTCGCGGTCTAATTTTTTGTTGTTTCTCTGTTTGATTGCTACTTTCTTTCATTAGGTAAGCTTCAGTTAGTCTCACTATTAGTTCTCATTAATATGTTCTGTTGGTTCAATGTCTGAAGCAAGTTCAGGTGGTAAAAATTATCGTATTCGCAATTTCATTCGATCTAGTGATTTCTTCTCAAATTTGCCATTTTGTTATGTATTCGTTTACAACTCAACCGACTAAATTTCTAAGGTTAATCTGAAAGTGTTTTCTGAAGGCAGAAATAGAGTTAGCAACTGCCTCTGGAATTAGTGAATGAATTCTACTCATGAACACCGTGCGAAAGGCTGAATATAATGTTGAAGAGAATGCATCTTCTTGATAAATTCTCTGAATTTCTTCTCTTGCTGCTTTGTTTGAAAGAAGTGAGTTGGTATTTTGAACCATAGTGTTACAAAGATTTCTCTCCTTTTGCTTATGTATGTATAGATATTTGTTTGGATCTACGATTTCGCGGTTGGTTTTGCGATGCTTTGTCACTTTATTTGTTAGATCTGCTCTTAGCTTGCCTTTGCGATGCTTTTATCTTCTCCATTTTCACCAGTGGTGGTTCTCGCCGGCGATTCACACCAAACCAGCATTTCGCAGACCTTTCATTCAGATTCCACCTTCACCATTTTAGGAAGTTCTCTTGATTCTTTTATTCAAATTTTCCTTTGCTTGGTCTCATTACTCCTCTGTTTCACCTGTCAAAACATGATTGGGACATTAGGAGGGTAAAGTAGAAGTTCAGAACGTGTTATGGGAGTTGGGACATTGAGTAGCTAAGGTTAAAAGTTTAGTAAATGATGGGTTAATGTTGAATTGCAAGATGCTCTATATTTGATTATGTCCAAGTCATACTGAGAAAGTGAAGTGCATAAGTAGACAGAGGAGTCCATTTCTCCTGATGAAATGTCATTGCTGCGAGTCTGTGTATTTCAAACATAGTAAAGATGGCCCACACGAACGGGAACCGTCCATGCTAAAGTTGCTTCTATCTGGGAGCGGTTTCAATTGAATCCCCTTTGTCGGAAAATTTTATACAAAAGGGCAAAAACTAGTTTTTTTTTTGTTTGTTATATTTAAATTGTTGAATCCCCTTGGCATAAGGGAAAGTTCTTGTAAAGTGGAGGAGGGGTTAAAGATATGCTTTAGGTCACAGGTTCATATCCCAGGTGTGACATTTTTGAATCCCTTTGTTTAAATTCTCACTCTCCGCCACTGACTTCTATGGTATTTTGTTCGTATTGCTGTTTGTATTGACTGGAAATTCATTCACCTAATACATTTTTTGGTAACTCCATTTGAGGGTTCATGTTTATCTTTTGCACGGACACTGAGCATTGCATTGTTAATGGCGGGTTAACGTACGGAAAGGTGGAAAAGATTGGGGTTGGGGTGTTGTAGTCAATGTGGTGAAGAAGCCTCCAGCAGCATTGGGTTCTTTGCCTGCTGCCCTCTCTGCTTCACGTGTCAAACTGGCTATATTGTGGATACCTTGCTTCATTGCTCTCTGGGTTCCAGTGAAAATGGTTCTCGATCCAAACCATGTCCCCCTCGACCCTCGTCCCTCGTCCCCGGGAAAAGGGAGAAATGCATGTGGTGAGTACATAATACTGCTGTGTTGTAGTTTTCCAAAAGTCATATATTGCACACAGGTGAATTAGATCATGAGCAATAGTTGTACTCTTGAGCGTGTTTCTGGGACATGACACAGTATTCCAATTTGTAGGTGCCTGTTCAGTTACCCTTAATTTCTTCTCTCAGCAAACTTAGAATATCTGTTCCTTCTGATCTTCGGCCTTTGGAAGCAAGGCAAAGTATTTTGCTTGCAGTACAGGAGCTTGAAAAACGTTTCCCCGAAGGCCTCCCAAAGCTTAACCCTGTAAAGGTATGAATTTTCAGTTGCTAGTCTCATTCTTGATTTGGAACTTGTCATTTTAAAAAGGATCAGGTCATTGATGAGCATACTCTCTTTTCTCGTTCCGGGATATTTATCTGAGTATAATAGCTATGGGTCAAAAACATTGCTAGTGATGTGTATGCAAAAACCGCAGGTCAAAAGCCTGACATACGTGTCGCTTATAGGGATATTTTTCTAACTGAAAACTGTGTGTCGGGAATATTGCTAGTGATTTTTAAGCAAAAACTGCAGTCAAAAGCTGGAGATGAGTATTGCTTATAGAAAACTGTAGCTGACTGTAATGCAGTAGTAATTATGGCACGGGGTGTCTTAAGAAACAAGGAGAAGGCTCTATATGCTTTGTGTAATAAAATCTGTTTCCTTCTCAAAGAAAAAAGAAGAAGTAATTGTTTGTTCTCTTTTTGATATCTGTATATATTGCCTTAGCACAGCCTTTGTGCTACAATTATATAAAATATATGTTTCAATTCTCAGAAAAAAAACAAGAAGTGATAGTTTGTTTCTTGTGTTAATCATTACTATGATGGAGGTTTGCTGGTTATGAAATTATCCTTTCATAACATTTTACTATATCTTTTACTATTATGCTTTTTCTTCAAATTTGAGGTTAATTCAGTGACGAGACACTAAATCTATAAGTCATGGTTTACTTACTGTCACTGCTTTTACCATTTGCTGTTGCGTCTTGTTCTAATCCTTAAACTTCTCTTGTTCTCTAGGCATTGTATTGAAGAATTGGTTCATCACCTAACATTCCAAGAAAATCGCCACTACTTATTAAATAGTATTTTCTAGGATTCATTGTAATCATTTCTCTTTTTGTGTTGGATGGATGTGAAATAACACTCCTTTGAATGCATATGTAATTTTGAAGCACATTTTCGTATAAAATGCTTTTTTTTTTTTTTTATTACTCTAGTTGTGTTTCTTTTTAATGTGCCAAAACTAGTATAAGGATTAAGGACAGCAATTAATTTTGATGCAAAAGATGTGTGTGATAATTGAGTGAGAAAATATTAAAGAATAACATTATAAAAGTAAATAAAGAATGTGAAAAATGAGTTTATTGGCTATTGAAAATCATTAATGGTAGTCAGAGCAACCCTATTAAACAATATAAATGAAACCATTAAACAATATAAATGGTCTTTAATTATATGTTTTAGCATTTCTGTAGTTTGTTGTACTGAATGTCTAAAACCTGCAATGTCAGGATAATAAGCAAAAAAGAAGTATATCTACATCTTCACGTCAACATAAGAAAAAGAATGAGTTATGAAAATTTCGATCCATCCAGCCCAACCAGCAACTCATGACGGTTACAGATACTCAATCTGTACGACAACAACAACAACCCAGTGAGTGTCCCACAAGTGAGGTCTAGGGAGGCTAGTGTGTACGCAGACCTTACCTTTTATCTTGGAAGGACAGAGAGGTTGTATCCAATAGACCCTCGGCTCAAGAAGAAAGAAAGAAATAGTAAAAACAAGCACTACCAACACCAAGTGCTAGTGACAACCTGGTGCACAAAGCATCTCGCATTTATACAGGGTCCGGAGAAGGGCCGCACCCCAAGGGGTGTTATGTAGACAACTTACCCTAATGCAAGCATTAATGGCTGCTTCCACGACTCGAACCTGTGACCTATACGTCACGCAGAGACAACTTTACCGTTGTTCCAAGGCTCCCCTTCCTATTGAGAAGTACTTAGAAATAAATGTTGAGTATACTACTGATGATAGGTGAATTTGACTATAAACCACGCAAAACAGGCCTGAAGATTCAGAGGACTAGGTTGACCGCGGTTCCACCGCGACCGCGGTAGAACCGCGGTGGAAGATAGCTGCGGATAAATTCAGATTCAGAGAAGGCATTTGGCCGCGGTTTGACCGCGACCGCGGCAGAACCGCGGCGGAAGCAGAAAACTTCAGGGACTAAAGTGTAAAACACGGGATTTTTAGACCTAAACCCTATTTAAAACATTAGACTTCGCCCAAGAGAGGCATGTATTGAATTTTAGAGTATCTTGACAAGGAAAAACAATTGTGAGAGATCACCCAAAACATCTTTCTTCTTTTCTTTGATTTTTATTGCTAGTTATGATGAATTCTATCTTAGTTTATTTTCCCATAGCCATGAGTAGCTAAATTCCTTGTCTAAGGTTTTGATGGAACCTATTGGGTGATGAACTTCTTGTTTATGTGAATACAAATTGCTAGTTTAATCTCTATTTGTTCAACTTCGTGTTTGTTGTAGTTAATTGACAGGATCCTCAATTAGCTGTGCCTATTTAGTGTGCATAACTTGGAAAAGAGTGCATATTTAGGGTATTGTTGAACAACACCACTCCTAGATTATTAGAGGAATCTATAATTGCGGGTTTAAAGGCGGGATTAGGGATAACGAATCCTTGGGTGTAATCTAAAGTGAATCGTGCTAAATAAAGTAAGCTAGTGTATCTCGGGAGAGTGCAATAGTAAATTACTGTGATTACTCGGGAGAGATTTACGGTAAGATTAGCGTTCATGATTGATAGAGATGTGTTGGTAAATTTGTATGAGCATAAACAGAAGGGATTCCATCAATAGGGGAAATCATTGCCTTAGCTTTTTATCATAATTGTTTACAACCTTATTAGTTTAGTTTACAGCTATTTAGTTACTTGCAAGCATAGTTGTTAAAGAACATTCAACTGAGATTTGAATATTTGGGAAGCTGGTTCTGAAGAATTAGTGGGTCTGAAGATAGTGGTTGATAGGTTAACTCTCTGTGGATTCGACCCTGGGCGTAATACTCGGGTTATATTTGCAACGTCCGCAGAGTCCTTTTTATAAGGCATAGTTGGGCGTGATCAAATTTTGGCGCCGTTGCCGGGGAGTTAACGGAATTATCAATTGCCATTGACAGTAATACAAAGATTCTTATTGTAGACAGTTTTCTCTCTACAAAATTTTTCATTGAAAATTTAACGGTTGTTGATTTGGGTGCTCAGGTGTATGCCTAGAAAGTCTACGAGGACTGGAGAACTACTTGAAGGACTCTCAGACCCCGAGCAAACATTCCGGGCACTGAACCGTGCCAACAAAAGAATTCAACAATCCCAACAAACACTCAAAATCGAAATTAACATGGGAGACGTAAACGATCCCAACGGAAACGTCGGGAATGAGCAAGCTGGCTTAAATGCCAGGGAAGGGGCACCTCCTGTGCTTGAGGGTGCATTATATGACTGGGCACAACCAACAGCTGACAATTTGGCTACTGCCATTGTTGTGCCCGCAATACAAGCTGAATCGCTCCAGATCACAAATAACATGCTACACTTGTTGCAGAACAAGGGACTCTTTTCTGGGACACAAACAGAAGATCCTCAGCAGCACTTGAAGAACTTCCTGTCTATATGCAAAACTCAAAGGCAACCCAACGTGACTCCGGAAGCAATCAGGCTATTATTGTTTCCATTCTCGGTGACAGGAGCTGCTCAGGTTTGGCTAAACTCGCTCCCCATAAACTCTATAGAAACTTGGGATGAGTTGGTCAAGCAATTTCACAACAAGTTCCATCCGCCCAACAAAACTGCTCAACAAATTGATGAGATTGTGAGTTTCAAACAGAAACCAATGGAGACACTACACGAGACATGGGGCAGGTTTAAAGGAATGTTGGTTATGTGTCCCCACCATGGTGTTCCAGAACAGATGTTGGGACAACGGTTTTACATGGGACTGTCAGACAGCATGAAGAATATCGTTGATGCCTCTGCTGGTGGGGCATTCTTGAGCAAGACTTGGAGAGAAGGTCAGAATTTGCTCGACAAGATGGCGCAGAATTCGGGTTGGACAACTAGGAATGCACCTATCACTCCAGTGGTGCACTCAGTGCCTCTTGATCCTTCTAATACAATGGCTGAAAATATGGCGACTCTCTTGACACAAATGAGCATCCTCACCAAAAAGGTGGAGGAATCAGGGCAGAAGCAGCAGGTTCATATAGTAGATACTACCAATGGGGGCTTGTGCACATCTTGCATTAGCCAGCCAATTGGTAATCCTTGGAATACAGAGCATGATCATCATCATCAGCACCCTGAAGATATGAACTATGTGGCTAACTATGGGGGTCAGAGGCAAGGTAATCAGAACTGGGGTCAGCAGACTCAGCAGCAGTACAGGCCACCTCAGCCACAGTATAACGCCGGAAACATGGGAGGCATGAGACCCCCCAACAACATGGCACCGTATCCTAGACCACAGGGGTACAACAATCAGCAGCAAGGGTACCACCCACCTCAGCAACAGCAGGGTGGAAGACAGGAAGACGGGTTTGCAAGACTTGAAGCAATGATGCAGCAGGTTATTGGGTCCAACGCTAAGATAAATGAAAGGGTGGATGCACATGATGCAGCTATCAAAAATATTGAGGTACAAGTGGGCCAGATTTCAATGTCACTTAACAATCGTCCTCAAGGGACATTACCTGCAGATACCCAAATCAATCCAAAAGATCAGGGCCCAAAGCAGCTGATGGCGGTGAGTCTCCGGAATGGCAGGGATCTAGATGTTGAGCAAGAGAGAGCTCGAGAAAACATACAGGCTGAGACACTCATTCCAGTGCCCATTGAGCTGGATGAGTCTACGGGATTGACAGAGGTAACAGTCCAGCCCGCACCTGAAGAAAAGAATATGCAGCAAGAGACTGAGACAGTAGCTGAGCCAGTAGTTGAAACAGTAGCTGAGAAAGAGAAATCTCAAGTGATTGGGAAGAAAAGACCTCCTGCACCATTTCCACAAAGGTTGGCCAAGCATCAAAAGGAGGAGCAGTATAAAAAGTTCTTGGAGATGCTCAAACAAATCCAGGTAAACATTCCATTGATTGAAGCTTTAAAGGAGATGCCGGGATACGCTAAAATGATGAAAGACTTGATGTCTCGGAAGTTTGACTTTCAAGACTTGTCCACAGTGACACTTACTCAGACCTGTAGTGCAGTGGTATCTAGACCTGTTGCTGAAAAGCTATCTGATCCAGGTAGCTTTACAATTCCATGCACTATTGGGAACTTTGCCTTTGCTAAGGCACTCTGTGATTTAGGGGCCAGCATTAATCTTATGCCCCTGGTTATTTATAAGAGGTTGGGCATTGGGAGAGCTAGACCCACCTCTATGTTGTTGCAGCTGGCCGACAGGACTGTGAAGCGTCCATTTGGGATCCTTGATGATGTGCTTATTCAGGTAGGGAAATTCGTGTTCCCTGCAGATTTTGTAATCTTGGATTGCAAAGTGGATGAAGAAATTCCTATAATCTTAGGACGACCATTCTTGGCCACGGGGAGAGCTTTGATTGATTGCGAGACTGGGGAGCTCAAGATGAGGCTCAATGATGAAGAAATTATATTCAATGTGCAGAAATCGATGAGGCGACCAAGTGAGTTCCCAAATTGTTCTCTTATTGATGCAGTGGACGTAATTGTAGAGTCTGATGATGAGGCGTTGACGGTTGAGGATCCCCTTACTGCATGCTTGACAAATGTGGATGAGGTGAATGGTGAGGATTTGGCGGAATGGGTGTTGGCACTGGAAGGTAGAGGGTTCTGGATAGAAATCTAGAGTTTGAGCCCTTACACTTAGAAAAGAGAGAGACCCCTCCAGCAAAGCCATCCATCGAAGAACCACCTAAGCACCCCACCTGGCCCTAACCTCTCTTCCGACTCCGATCTCGATCTTGACTCCAACCTCGACCTCGAAACCTAATTCCGATCCCAAATCTCAACCCCAATCCCAACCTCGCCCTAGGGAAGAGTAAGTGCTGAGACAGGGCGGGAGGTTGGTTGGGGAAGGGGAGGTTAGTCGGGGCAGGGAGTTGGAGGGTGGGTAGAGGGTACAATGGGGGTAGTGAGTCGGGAGTTTGGGAATTGGAGCGGCAATGGTGTGATTGGGGTGAGGGTGGGGATGCGGTGAGGAAGATAGAAAGAGAGTTTTAGAAAATATTTTTCCTCATTAAAGTCCTTTTCCTCCATTTGGAGGTTGAATCTGTTATACCACTGGTGCTGGAACAATTGGTGATACTGGTACAATCAGTTTAGCCCTCTACAAGTTATGTACCTGTAAAATCAGTTAATATTTATTGCATCATAGCTTGCAACATGTCATTGGCTCCTCCGGCTTAAACTGGAGCCTTAACATCAGACATTCTATCAGAATTATAAATTTCTCTCATTTTTCCAATCATATATACTCTCCCTCACTCTCTTGGAAGCCTCAAGGTTCGAATCCAACTCAAAAAGTACCTATGCTTCAACCACCCTTCCGCCTCTACCTTTTCTCTTCAAAAAACTTAAGCTACTTAAACTGATGCTGACGAATATCTGGACCTGGAATGGAGGGGGTATACGGCTAATAAAGCGCCGAAGGGGTGGGATTACCCTGGGTTACTAAAGAGTCATCAGAGCATGCGTATACTAGCTTACCAACCCCACATCATAGGTAATGCCAGGTCTAGTGATAGCAAAATATCTATATTTTCCCATAAACCTCTGATGTATGCATCATCCAAGGTTTTTTTTCCTCTTTTCTTCAAGCTTATAATTTTCTTCTATTGACTTTTCAAATACACCGGGAGAAAAAGTTATGATAGCAAGCCCCTCTCTTACCGAAGAGCCTTCGGTACAAGGAGGTGGCGATCATAATGAATTTCTTGAAATCAATTTTAAGAGTGGAGTTATGCAACCAAGAATCGGACATTGAAAGCTAAAGATATGAGTCAAGAAAATTCTATGAAAACAATGAGAAAAGCACAAACAAATTGGAACGAAAGAAATAATTAGGTTTAAAATATTAAAAATTACTTAACGTAAACTAGCACAATATATGTTACTTCAGCGATTGTCAATTATATATAGTTGGTTTGATTTTCTATGAGCAATATTGTATAGAGTTAAGCTCTTGTTAAATATATGATTTTATTTAATGTGATATTTCTTTTGACAGGCACAATTCCATATGAGATTGGTCATCTTTATAACTTGAAGCTGTTAGTCATGGAAAAAAATAAGTTAAAGGGCTCGATCCCTTTAACCATATTCAACATTTCATCACTTGAATTTCTATATATGAGTGGAAACATGCTTGAAGGACCTTTACCAAGAGACATTGGAAATTTGACTATGCTTACCGCACTTGATCTTGGAAATAATTACTTGACAGGTACCGAAAAAATATCCAATCCACGTCATATAAATACACACACACACCTGGTGCACAAAGCATCCCGCGTTCACAGGGTACGGGAAATGACTGCATCCCAAGGGGTATGATGTAGACAACCTACCCTAATGCAAGCATAATTGCTGCTTTTCATTCACTTTTACTAATTTTTGCAGGTGTAATTCCAGATGAACTTAGTAACCTTCAAGAGTTGGTGGACCTTTCATTGTATTTGAATAACTTTAGTGGTTCTATCCCAATTGGTATCTTCAATATCTCTACTCTTGTATCTATTTCACTATCAGATAACCACTTTTCAGGTATTCTTCCTTCCACTATAGGCCATGGTTTACCTAATATTGAAGGAATATTTCTAGGTGAAATCAATATTAATGGTATATTACCAAATTCCATCTCAAATTTGTCTAAGCTTACTGTTCTTGGACTGGGTGGAAATGAACTTACAGGTCCCATTCCTAAATCTCTAGTAAACTTAAGACTTCTTGAAGTTCTCCACTTACAAAGCAACTCCTTTGCTGGTGAAACTTCAACACTGAGCTTTATTACTCCTTTGATAAACTTAGTAGATTTGAGGTTATCTTTCAATCCCCTAAATGCAGTTCTTCCAAAGTCTATTGGCAATCTTTCTCTTCAATGGTTTTCGGCGATAGGTTGTAACCTCAAGGGCCATATTCCAAATGAAATTGGAAATTTGATAAATTTATCTTCTTTGGAGCTAGAAGACAATGACTTTACTGGCATTGTCCCGACGACGATAAGTTCTTTGACAAACCTTCAACAACTTTCACTTGGTGTAAATAGAATAAGTGGTCCTTTTCCAAATGGTTTGTGTGAGCTATCTAGCTTGTTTTTTCTAAAACTTTCACAAAATCAAATGTGGGGAAGTATTCCTACATGTTTAGGGGATTTGACTTCCCTAAGGGAGGTTTATCTTGATTCTAATAACTTCACTTCTAGCATACCTTCAAGTCTATGGAATCTCAAAGACATCTTGAAGTTGAACTTGTCGTCTAATTTCTTCAATGGCTCTCTACCACTAGAATTTGGAAGTCTACTGAAGGTGACTCAACTATCTTTGGCTCATAACAGAATTGAAGGATCAATTCCTGAGACATTTGGAAAACTCGTAAATTTGGAAGCATTGGATCTTTCATATAACAATATGTCTGGTGTGATTCCAAAGTCATTAGAGGAACTTAAGCAACTAGACTCCTTTAATGTCTCATTCAATAGGTTACACGGGGAAATTCCGAGTGGAGGGCCTTTTGTTCATCTTCCCTTCCAATCTTTCATGTCGAATAAAGGATTATGCGGTAACCCTCAAAAGCATGTCCTCCCATGTCGTTCTAATTCAAAGAAAAGAAGATTGATATGGATTTTAGTTGCCTGTTTGGTTATCTTTGTAGTAGGGGTTGTTTCATCAATAGTTTTCATATTGATGAGACGTCGGGGTAAAACAGTCAATATTGAAGATGAGTGGTCACCTGAGATAGCAGCACAAAGAATTTCTTACTATGAACTTCAAAGAGCAACTCAGGGATTTGATGGAAATAACTTGATAGGTAGTGGAAGTTTTGGTTCTGTTTACAAAGGGACAATGGCAGATGGGATGATAGTTGCTATTAAAGTTTTTAATGTACAGATGGAAGGTACATTTCAAACTTTTGATATAGAATGTGAAATCTTGCGGAATCTTCGCCACAGAAATCTCACCAAGATCATAAGCAGTTGTTGTAACTTGGATTTTAAAGCATTGATACTTGAGTACATGCCAAATGAGAGCTTAGACAAGTTGCTATATTCGCGAGATTATTGTTTGAATATAATGCAAAGATTGAATATCATGGTTGATGTTGCTTCTGCTCTGGAATATCTCCATCATGGTTACTCAGTACCGGTTGTTCATTGTGATCTGAAGCCTAGCAACGTGTTACTTGACAATGACATGGTGGGACACCTAACTGACTTTGGCATCGCCAAACTTTTGACTAAGGAAGAATCTATTGCTCACACTACAACCTTTGCCACACTTGGTTACATTGCTCCAGGTAAATTCTTTACATAACTTTAACGGTCAGCCCAATGCATGAAGCATCTACGTTCACGCAGGGTCAGGGGAAGGGCCGCACCCCAAAGGGGGTGTAATGTAGACAGCCTACCCTGATGCAAGCATCAATAATGGCTGATTCCACTGCTCGAACCCATGACTTATAGGTCACACGGAAACAATGTTACTATTGTTCCAAGGCTCCCCTTCAAATTCTTTATTTAGCTTTGTACAATGTAATTGATTAATGCATAATAAGTTTATTTGCTGACATATTGTTTTATTTTTTCTTGTTTAGAGTATGGTTCGGAAGGCCTTGTATCCAAGAGGTCTGATGTTTATAGTTATGGTATCATGTTCCTGGAAACCTTTATAAAGAAGAAACCTAATGATGAAATGTTCGTGGGAGATTTGAATTTGAGAAGCTACGTACATAATTCGCTTCCTGATGAGCTGAATAATATCATAGATGCCGACTTACTAACACTAGATGAAGAAAACTTAAGTCAAAAGCTGCAATGTGTATCTGCAATCATGGAGTTAGCCATGAATTGCACAGCTAATATTGCAGTTGAAAGGATGAACATGACTGATGTTGTAGCAGCATTGAAAAAGATCAAACAGAAGCTTTCTTCATGTTATCGAACGACCTTACGACAAGACATCAGGTACTTCCATATATGTTTTGAAAGAAAAAAGTTATAAAGTTCAGTAGCATTTGACCATATCAGTAGTTGTTCTTGTTCGCGTAGGCGGATGTAGCAAGAAAGTTACAGGTTCACGTGAACGCAGCAACTTTTGCTCAGACTCTATATATGTACTAAGAAATTCGAAAATATCTATAAATATTTGACTCTGATCCCTGTTATTGTTGTATATTAACTTTGAGATCACTGCAGGAACCAATAAACTTCAAGTTCTAGATCCGCCTCTGGTTGTTCGTCGAATGTTATTGTTGGATTCTATGGTTACCGGAAGTTAAAGGGATGAAGGCTCAACTACTTTATACTTAACGAAGTTACTACAATTTTGGAGACAAAAGTTATATAAAACCGTTGATAGCTTGTGTACCATTTTCTTTTTCTTGATGATTCATATTTGTTTTAAGAATTTAAAACTTTGCATTCCAATTCCTAAAATAAGTGTTTTTTCCTATTCCTTGTTCTTTACTAATCTAACATTATACTACTCCATGTCATGTCATACTCGGTATTTCTTGTATAGCAACAAAGTGCCTTTCCGTTACCTAATTCTCTCTACATATCAACATCACAAAACCGCTACCTTGTTAGCACTAGTGGTGAAGCCAAGAATTTCGTTAAGAATATTTATATTTGACCTATATATACAATATAATTTTCCAGCAAAAACAAAGGGTGTTCAACTGACCACCTTCGCGACCACCATTCGCCTGTTGTAGCTCCTCCCTTGGTTAGCACAAAAGTCAAAAGAAAATGTACGCAAGTAACGTCAGAACAAACAGGAAAGGTCTTTAATTATATGTTTTCATTCCCCCACTCTAATTATCGCGTTCATGGATGGCATGGAGGTGGAAGAATAAACATTTCATATAGCCAGAAAAACCTGAGAATGAAACTGTGACAAAATCAACTGCTACAAACGAGTTTTTAGCATTTCTGTACTAAATGTCTAACACCTGCAATGACAGGATAATAAGCACAAAAGAAGTAAATCTATGAATAATTATGAAAAATCTGATCCATCCAGCCCAACCAACAACTCATAACAGCTACAGATCCTCAATCTGTACAATTATCACAAAATTTACCAACCTATTGAAAAGCATTTAGAAACCAAATGTTTGAGTATACTACACCAAAGCAAAGCAAACAGCTTGAGGAAACAATTATCCATGTTGTTTGAAAATTTTAGTAGGGACCTAAATAAAAGGGCAGCCTGGTGCACTAAGCTCCAGCTATGTGCGGGGTCCGCGGAAGGGCCGGACCACAAGGGTCAATTGTACTCAGCCTTACCCTACATTTCTGTAAGAGGCTGTTTCCACGACTCGAACCCGTGATCACATGGCAGCAACTTTACCAGTTACGCCAAGGCTCCCCTTCGGTAGGGGACCTGAATGCATTCATTAATATGAAGATTCACTATAATTATTTTAATGCTGGCTATTGACCTACATGCTAAGCTCAGAAACCACTGGCAATTGCTTATGCTTCTCAGATATATTAGCAATAGAAAAGCAGTACATATACAAGATATAGCATAGAACTATCATATGGAGGACCATATAATATGAAATATGGAACATTAATGTTACAGGGACTGTAACTTAAAACTACGACATAGTTAAAAGCTTATGTTACGATATTCAAATACTCGCAAGCGAAACTATGTTACTTTTATTTTCACAAGCATAAGATGCATTCATTTAGCACTTGTTAAGCACTAGCGGCATCCCCAATAAGCTTGAAGTCTTCAACTTGCTTGAAGTTCTGCCACGGCTTCACCCAGACCTTGGCTTCGTATGCTTTCTTCTTACCACCTTCAGTTGCCTCCAGTGTTATGTAGTACATGGTTCCAGCAACCACTTGTTCCTTCACATTAACAACCTTTCCGAACTCCAGAAGTGCATTCTGATATAGAATATTGTTCAAAAAGCAAGAAAAGTGGCCCATGAGTGCTGAAGCAATCAATCTCAGTCGTGACGAAGTGCAAAGAAGATAAAGGCTGTCACTGTACATGCTTAATCACAGAGACACTAGCAAAGATTTAAGCAGGAGGTTAACAGCCTCTTGCAGAAATGCAGGCAAGGTTGCGTACAATAATTGTGGTCCGACCCTTCCGGACCCCGCGCATAGTGGGAGCTTAGTGTACCGGGCTGCCCTAATTTTTTAGACTTACTAAAGTGGTCAAAAGCATAAATATGTGCATCAAAAGAACTAAAATACTTATTTTGTTATTTTTGTTTGGATGAATGCAGCTCTTCTCTTCTCCTCTTGGCTCTCATTCCCACCATGAACAAGCACTATCTAAACTGCCACATCCTAATGAAAAAAGCCCATTTCAAGCATGTAAACTTAACAAGATAGAAGTTTGAACATTTGTACAAGCTTATCTCAATTAGTTTAGCAACTTATAAGCTAGTACTCACTTTGTTCCAAAACTATGAGACAGCCTTGGAACCGAATAACTTTTGCCTAAATTCTGTATATCTATTAAAAATTCACTAAATATCTAATTGTGAACCTAGTTATTATTGTCTATTAATTTGAGATTACATTAGGAGCCATAAACTTCATATATTGGATCCGCCTCTGCTATGAAATGCAATTCAACATTCAAGATTCAAAAAGATGAAACTCTAACTGAAATTTTCTTTAATCATTACCTATTAAATCATTACTATAAATGATGGGGAAATTTGACAAACACATTGCAAACCCACGTAAAAATAAGAGGAACAAACACAATCAATTCCACAATAAAAAACAAAGGTCAGCTCCAACAAATTCACAAACAGGGGAAAAAAGAAGAAAAAACAAAATATAACTCGTTGTTTGAGAATAAGGAAAAAGCAAAAAAGAGGGACCTGTTTCTTATTGTGTTCATCAACAGCAAAGCGAGCAAGATCATTGATCTCAAGACTGTTCTCAGATCCTCCTGCCTCACGAAGTCCTCCTAGAGTTGCCATTAATTCTCAATTTTTGCACTAATTTTGGGTTTTTTTTCTTTGTAAAAGGGTTTTAAGAAGAATAAATATATAGAGAATATAGCAAATGCAAAGAAGATAAAGAATCGTCAGTCGCTGTCTGCGAATCTAATGGAGCGCGTTTTGATTAAAGCTGCACTGAATAATTCTTTTTCCCTTTTACAACTTGTTTGGATGGTACATTGTATTGTTATTCTAAATATAAAATTTATTTTGATTGTGATTTAAAGTTTTTATATTTGGAGATAAGATAAAGGATAAATATGATTATTTGATAATAAGGAAGAGAATGAAGAAGATGAGAAAAAGAAATAAAGTAATAATGCAACCACATCAAATGAGTGGTTACATAAAGTCACACTTTTTATTTTTATATAACAACAGATTTAAAAATATGATACAATAAAATTTAAGTAACCATCAAAATAAATAATGTATTTAAAGTAAGAAAAACTTACAGAAATATCCAAAATAAGCTTAAACTTACCAACTTCTATCCAAAACTAACCAAGTGCATAAAAAAATTGAAAACCCAAATAATTAAGGATTCTTTCTCTTCAAGAACCATACACAAAGATCTCCTTCTATATTTTTAAGCGTGATCAGCAACATCAGATGATGCAATTCATAATGACATATATCTCAAACAGATGATCGCTAACGCACACAAAACCAATCTCATAACTTTTTTGCAGGCAGAAGAAAAGAGAAAAATGAGTGAAACGAAGTGGAGCGAGGAAAAGGGAGGATCTACTTAGAATTGGTTGTCAATAAATCCAAAGTATGATATAGAGGAAAGAAATCCTGCGGGCAATAAGAAGCTTAAAAAATGAAGCCCATTTTTTTTTTTGAAATCCGACAATGGTAATGTCAATAAAAATCGAAAATGAGAGACCCAAAGTAATGAGAAAATGACTTGTATCTGTGAAGCTATAAGGTATCAGAAATACGAAAACACCTAGTGTTTATGTCAAATCAATCATTACATGACATTTGGGTTTGACACATATGTTGATCACTTAAGATCAATTGATGTATACGCTCGTTACCTCAATATATCATTTATTCTAGAATTAACTAGTATGGTTTGGTGTAAAATATTGTTGTAAAGTTTTTGTGAAGATGTAAATTTCTTGAACATGCATAGCTAGCACTCGGTATATTTCTTTGCTTATGAGCTGACTCTAATTTGTAAATACATCATAGTCAAAATATTTCCATTGTAGTATATCTTAGAATAGGCTAATGCTAAACTTCATGCCCTCCGATCTCATTTCTCATATCTGTTATTCCTTCTGTTTCAATTTAGATGATACACTTGGAAATAATTCAACTTTAAGCTCTTCATTTTACCTATTTTACCCTTATCGAGAAGCTTTTCTAACCACACAAACGTCATGGCTCTATAAAGCTTTTACCCCTAAGCTTTTAAGACCACAAGTTTTAAAAGATTTTTTCTTTTTCTTAAATTCCGTGCCGAGTCAAACTACATCATCTGAATTGAAACGGAGGGAGTAAATCTTATCTTTTTCATTTTTTAAAACAGAGTTTGTGACGGTATCTAGTTAGAAATTCTGCCACAATAACAATCTTCAATAAACTTATATTTTATAATTTATTCTATATATCCGATTTTAATATAAAGTTCAAACGTTCCATAAGAAATAATCTCTTCACTGCAATTCCTGCATTATTAATTAATCTCTTTATTATTAATCCATATATTACAATTCCAGCAATAGGGTGGTTAATAGCTCAATTCCAAGCTGGTTAGTTAGAAGTCGTTAGAAGTTAAAGGGGTTAGTTTTCCAAAATTCAGTTGTAACTAACTTTCCCAGCCAAAATGTTCCCCTATATAGTTGATTTCCTCTATTGTAATTTTCAGTCTTTTGGATATTAAATCAATAAAACGAGTCTTCTCTCTTCTCTTTCAATTACATTCAACTATTAGTTGAGCTTAGATAATCTGTTCAAGGGTAATTCTTCTACTTTTACCCTTTAGGTTTCTCTTCCTTTCATTGTTCTTAGCTCGAATTAGTCTGGTTCGTATCATTTTGCTCCTTCACTTGTTGTGTATCCAGGATGTCAAGAAGATGGTTGCACTATCACTGTGGACTCAATGTTTAATCTAGGTTTCCATGAAACTCATTATTTTTTTGAAAATACAAGTTCAATTTTTTAAATTATTTAATTTTTTTAGTGACTTTTGACATATATGTATCTACACTCAGTATCAAAAATATTGGGATCAGTTGAATCCTTTGATTATGTATTACATTCTCTACTAATGATAATTTTAATATAGACATTCGGTTTAATTATATAAAAATTTAACGATAATGACAACAGAAGGATAGCAATTTTAATGCGTCAACCTTGGGGATTTTGAAAGAATAACCAAACAATTAAACAACATTTCCATAAACATTTTCATATCTTGATGATTAATTTGGTTAAGACCTTGGAGATTTTGGTAAGGACCAATAAATTGTAGGTAATGATCGCCTTTGGTTTCCTGTATTCTATTTGCTTGTGGTATATGAGAGAAAAAATACAGCTTGTCGTATTCACGTAGAGCCCGGGGAAAGATCGCACCCCAAGTGATATATAAAAGACTAAGAGTAAATTAATTAAAAGAAGATCGATATATGGTATCTGAGAGAGAAACAATTTATGCAATTACATATATTCTTGAGTTTAATCAGCTTCACATGTTTGATAATGTGAGCGATCTGGAATTATTACTAAAAATCATGGATTTGAGATCACTCAATCCTATCATAAATTGATTATTGTAAAATCATAAAAATAATTATTGATCATCTTCATGCCTTCACTCAATGAACCAAATGAGCCAATGTCGTCATGGACTGCGATTGACCTGAAATTATTCCTGTAGTTGAAAGGTTTTGTCCCAAAACTATACAATAACCATCATCATAATTCTCCATCCCTTGTGCCATGAGTTGCCATACTAAACTTCCTGCCATAGTTCCTCCTTCTTTTGCCAAATTGTAGATATTTCTATATACACTACTCATAAATGTGTCTCTTGAACTAAGATTGTATCCTTGACCTCTACTAGACTTTCCAAATTCAGCTAGAACTAGAGGTTTCTTTAGTATATTTCTTGCATCTTGCCAATGGCTTGTAACCCACCTTTCCATCCATGCCAATTGTGCATCATCGCTCTGTCCGGATACCCTGTAAATGTAAAAATAATTTTATTCATTGATGGTGTAACGAGAATATCTGATTTTTTTAGCGCAGAAAAGATGTTAAATATACCATTGGTCAGTGTAAGCGTGGATAGTGGCAAAATCAATCTCATTAATAAGATGGTTACTGATGAAATCTGTTCCAACTTGATAACCAGGATTAACTTGCTTTCTTTCAGGAATTGAATCGCCATAAAATCCCTCCATTCCTACCTCTAACAAGTGTTTGTTGTCTAGTGACTTCACAAAACTTGCCATTTCTTGAACCCAAACCTAGAGTAATATCAGTAAAAAATCAAAATTTTACAGCAAAAAGTCAGTCATTGATATTTCTAAATAACTAATTTGGAAATGAAATAAGAATTTATTTCTTAAGACTCACATTAACAGTTTTTCCAGAATAGTCAGTTTGGTCACGTGGCTCATTAATGAGTTCCCATGCCATGATTGTTGGATCATCTCTGTAAGAAACTCTAGTAATGGTATTGAACCTTGTAACAACTTTCTGTAG